TATATATATTGTATATATATGTATATGCATATATACCAAAGAGAACTCTGTACATACAAATAAGAACAAAAAAATAAATATATATTGAAATGAAATACAAATATACGAATAGCGCCATCTGTAGAAGGTAAATTTGATATTATCTACCAATCACATTACGAAGGTTTGGAAGGTTGCGATTGTTGCAAATAAATCGCCGATCGAAAAGCGTGAGGTATCATGTTTGACATATGGCATAATTCGTTGTACGACGCTTCGAATAAAGAAAATATGAATTCAATAATGTTCCTAAAGATATAATCGTGCAATAAATGTAAAGGTAAACTCTTGATTTTATATTGACTCCTTGATGTTTTTAAGTGAGATATTATGATTTAACCTATACAAGTTTGCTTTTCTTTTACAATATACTTAAATATAATCAGTTTGTTTCTTAATAATAAGCTTCAGAATTATGTTAAATTTCTTGTCACAATATTTTTTTTATGGAAATGTGCATTTATATTAAATTTTATTCATAAAGTTATATCTTATATTATACAAAATGATTTTTTATATTTAAGATAAAAATAATTGAAAATGAAGCTAATATCAAGGAATGTAGATAAATTTGGAGAAGGGTAAATATATATTTTATATATAATATAATCTTTATGATATTCCAATATAATCTTAAGATTAAATATAAAATTTAATGTAATCTTTAGGCGTGTGTCTCTTGTCCCTGAAAATACAGAGGATATGTGGCATGCCTATAATCTCATTAGTGAAGGAGACTTTGTAAGCTGTTCTACTATCAGGTATATTCAAGTTTTATATTTTTTAAATAATATTTCATTTAATTTTAATCAATATCATCATGTCAATTTTATTTTTCACTGTTTTTTAGAAAAGTGCAAATGGAATCAGCAACTGGTAGCTCTAACAGTTATAGAGTCAGAACTACTTTAACGATATGTGTAGAAAATATTGATTTTGATACGCAGGCATGTGTTTTACGACTTAAAGGTAGAAACGTGGAAGAAAATAGATATGTTAAAGTAAGTTAAACGATATTAAATTTTCATCTTTAGTGTATAATGTAAGGTTGAAATTAAGTTAATAATAAAGTCGCATGTACATAAACATTGTGCTAATCTTTATAGGAAATAAAATTTTCTTTTACTAAAAATGATTTCTGTAGGTCAAAACATGATATTTGTATGTTTTTAATGTAAATGTGATCTATTTTGTATTTGTATTCACAGTCGTAAACATTTTATTAGCAATTTCATTCAACTTAGCTTTGTTATTTTTGTATTTGCTTTTTGTTTGAGATTGTAAATTGTTTTAATTTTTTAATTTTGAATAAAAATATTTATTTATATTATTATATGCGTTATTAAAGTATTAGAAGACTTGTTTCTCTTAAATTTTGGATTATCCAAACATAATGATTTCAATGATGGGATCTTATGTTTTATTCTTCTGTATATCTATTTGTATGCATGTTTAACATCTATTGCTTTAAATATTAAATCAGCAGATAATTATTTATAATTATATTTAATTGTTTTTTTATTTTACAGACAGGAGCATATCACACATTGGATGTTGAACAAAATCGGAAATTTAGTATCACTAAAGCTAAATGGGATTCTATTTCTTTGGAAAGAGTTGATACTGCATGCGACCCTGCACAGGTTAATGCTTTTTCAAAACAAAGATTTTATATTTGGCTATAATGCTCTCTTTTGTTTTGTTTTAGAATGCTGATGTAGCCGCTGCTATTATGCAAGAAGGCATTGCACAAATTTGTTTGATAACTTCCAACATGACAATAGTCCGTGCAAAAATCGATCAAGTTATACCAAGGAAAAGGAAAGGAAATGTTTCACAACACGAAAAGGTTTGAAAAACGTTATGTCAATATTAAAAATGTTTTGTATAGATGAGCCTAAATAAAATTTTTAATTTGATATATATTTAGGGCTTAACACGTTTTTACGAGAGCATTATGCAAGGCATATTAAGGCACATCAATTTTGATCTAGTGAAATGTGTTATTCTTGCTAGTCCTGGATTTGTGAAAGATCAATTTATGGATTATATGATACAACAAGCTGTTAAATCTGATAATAAAATTATTTTAGATAATAAAAGTAAATTTTTGCTAGTTCATGCTAGTTCGGGTTTTAAACATTCATTAAAAGGTATAGATATATATGAAATCTGAATGAATATAATATTTGAAAAGTGTTATTATCTTTATATTTATTCTAATTCATCGTGTTATAATAGAAGTTCTAGCCGATCCTGCTGTAATCTCCCGAATTTCTGATACCAAAGCAGCAGGAGAAGTAAGAGCTTTAGAAGTATTTTACAATACTCTTCAAATGGATCCTGCTAGAGCATTTTATGGCAAGAAGCATGTTGAAAAAGCTAGTGCTGCTCAAGCAGTAGAAACTCTGCTTATATCAGACAAATTATTCAGGTGATTTTCTTAAGCTTGTTATTTGTTGCAATATTAATTTTATAATTAATTTTATTTTATTATATTTTTTTTGTACTTTTATCAAATCCAAATGTTCAGATGTCAAGACATAGCACAGAGAAAGGAATACGTTGAGTTAGTTGAAAATGTGAAAGACTCTGGTGGCGACGTCAAAATATTTTCGAGTTTACATGTTTCGGGTGAACGTAAGTCTTATATTAATATAAACGATACAAGTGATTCAGCTGAAATTTAAAAAAATGCTTAATAAAGAAACTTATTTATTGTTCTAATAAATTTATTTGTATTCAAATAAAATTATGAATTTCTTTTCAGAATTAGATCAATTAACTGGGATAGCAGCTTTATTACGTTTTCCCATGCCGGAACTGGAAGATGAAAGCGAGGATGGTGACTCAGAAGAAGATTAGAATCATGATATGCTAACAATTTTGTATATATTTGTGCTATGCGCAGTTAAAAATATCATTATTAATAAAAAGAAAAATTAATTTTTTAATTTATTTTCCAAGCGTAAAAAAGTTCTACATTTTAATTTAAATCATGTTGCAATTTAAAGAAATTCTATTTTTAAGAT